AAAAATTATGCCAAGATTGTCAAAAAGGGGTTTTAAACAAGTGAATTGTGTACCATTGTCACTATCTATGACCTTTACCTGTTTATTGAATTGACACTCAATCATTGGAAAGAAATTATGAAGAATATATAGTAGAAGCTTCATATTTGTGGTTTAATAAATACACCCATACTGCTCGAGAAAAATCATCAATAATCGTTAAGAAATATCTTGCTATAGTACAAGGAGTACGATAACCACCCCCATAAATCATAATGAATCAAAGCAAAATGAGTATGGGATTTATTCAAACTAATTAGAAAAGAGTCACGACATTGTTTTGAGCGAAAACACGTACCACAAGGTAAATCAGAGACATTGGAATTATTAGATAATTGGAGAAAGGATTTGACAATAGTGTAAGAACGATGACCCAAATGCTTGTGCGAAATGTCCAAATCCTTCGACTCTTTCACGTTGCAAACTTTCTCCTTCAAACCTTTCTCAAGATAATAAAGTCCCTCAACTTTTTCACCCATTCAAATCACCATCTTCGAAATATAGTCTTGTATAATACAAATTTTATTATTAAATCTGACAATTAATTTCTTTTTGTCAAGAATTTGAGAGACAAATATAAGATTGAAGTTAAGTTGAGGAACTAGCAAAACATGTTCTAAGGTTATCAAATCATTCAAGACAACTCTCCCTCTTTGTTTGGCTACAGGGTAATCGCCATTAGGCAGATCAACGAAGCACAGCTTTATTGTTTCCAGTTTTACAAAACATCTCTCATTGTCGGTCATGTGTTAACTAGCACCCCTATCAATAATCAAAGAGGTGTTGGGCATGCCTAAACATTTATTTTTAGTACCCGATTCTTTATCGTTTAGAATTCCCATAGAAGAGTTCCATTGATTAGTTGTGAGGGTGAAAGATTCGGGTTGGTAACGCCTTCTCCTCCTTCTATTGTGTCACCTTGAGCGATTAAATTCGCTGGATCACCATGGCCGGCACTGCCCCCCTGCCGCGGCGGTGTCTTCCGGAACCACCACTACGATTAATTTCACACCATGGGTTTAAGATACGTGAGCGATATCCCCACCATTCTCGATATCCAACAAGTTGGAGAACCCACTCTTTTTGTGTCCATTTAGCCCACAGTGCTTGCATTTCAAATCCTTATTTGCTTCAGGATCAAATTTAGAAGCAGTAGCAAAACTTACCAGATTTTGTTCTTCTTTCTGTATGATTTCAGGACTCCGTTTTGCTCGATGATAGTTGTATACACACAATTCAATGGTTCCAGGGGTTCAATGCTTATAATATTGGATCAGATACTTCCATATCCTTCGTATTCCAATCCCATAAAGAATTGGCAAACGTTTTCTTTATCTCGTTGTATGGCGAGAGCCTTATCAATGCCACACTTGCATCCATGGCACTTGCACGTAGGAATTTTTCATGATCACCGAGTTCATCCCAAATCCCTTTTTTTCCAAAAGTATGTAACAATAGATTGCCCGTTCTGCTTACAAATTGCAAGCTCTTTCTTCATATGATGGATTCGAGGGCCATTTGTGACAGAGAAACGGTCTTTTATATCTGTCTAGAGTTCTGCAGCCTCTTCAACTTGCGTGATGGAATTTATCAAGCTTCCATCAATGGTGTTGTAAATTCATGAGACCAACATGGCATTTTGATAGAAATATAAACTCACATATATTATAGGAAGGAAAGAGGATGCTTTATTTCATCTTACACATTACAACTTAATCTGAGTACATTAAGGAATATATGGTCAGCTTGGACTTTATATAGGCATTACATAATAAAATAATATTCATAAGATGATGCTTATCTAATAGGATTGTATAATGCTTATCCAATTAGATAATGCTTATCGAATAAGATGATGTTTATCTTATAAGAAGTAGTTTTCAATTTGAACTTGCATTCTTATTTTTTATAATATTTTTCTTATCTAAGAATAAGTCTTCAAATTGGTTTTTACTTCCTCCAATGGATAAGCTTGAGACTTGAGTGTTCAACTTGAATTCTTCTTAATACCAACTTGTAAACTTATCACATAATATAAGCACTACAAAAAGGAGGCAATACCGACAGGGGTTAATATGTCGCTAAAGGTTGAATATCTGTCACTACTCGCTTTTATCGATAGATAATTGTCTGTTGGTACGTTGTCGCTAAAAACTCCGTCAGTATACCGACAGATAAAATATGTTGTCGCTAAAATTGTGTAATAGCGACAGACCAAAGATGTCGCTAAAAAAGAGAGGAGTACCGACAAAATATATATGTCTCTAAAACATGAATTGCCGACAAAAAATAGTGTTGGTAAATCCTTTAACTTATACTCCCTCTGTCCCATAAAGTGTTACCCATTTTTACTAAAGTTGAAATTAAGGGAGGGATAATTTTGTGTTGACTTTCCAAAAATACCCTTGATGTGATGGGTAAAAGTAGGATGTGATGTGTAGATTATTAGAAAAAAGGTATGATGTGATAGGTAGGGTTTGAAAAAGTAATGGGTAAAAGTGGTTTTTTAATAGAAATGGGTAAGGGATTGTGGGACACAATTTTTTTGAAACGTGTAAATCTTTTTGGGACGGAGGGAGTATGTTCTTTTATCATATGTCTTGATTCTATTTGGACATTTTAATCCTTTAATTTTAACTTATAACTTAAAAATCTTTAATCTTCAATCCTTTAATTGTAAATATTCAATGTAAAAAAATTATTTTTAATCTTTAACTTTTAGTTTTTTATCTTATAAATTTATAATTCATTTTTTTAATATCATATATTTTTGTGCGACCAAACAACAAAATTCAAATTGAGGTATTTCATTTCTAATTTCATGACCTCAATTTCGAGTACTAAATGATGCATAATTTTATGGTTTTTTATAAGTAAGATATTTAAATTAAATGTCAATAAAATCAATATCGATAGATAAAATGTTGTTGCTAAAACTATAAACAATACCGATAGATTAATTTACTATAGATGTCATCCCTTCAAAGGAAGAAATATGATCTGTTTCTTCTCTTTCATGCATGTCTTCACTCTTCCCTTTGACATGCTCACCAACTTCTTCTAAATCCTTTTCATTTGAGGATTTCTATATCTCCATAACCAAGGCAACATTTTTGCTCTTAGTTTGATCTTATTTGTCAATATGATTCTCTTCATCTTTCTCGCAGAAAATTTTCTCTATGATCTTTTAATTTTATGGATAGTAGAGTAGGATATTTATTATTATTATTATTATTATTATTATTATTATTATTATTATTATTATTATTGTAATCTAGATTTTATTAGGTGAGCGAAATTATAAGCTCTTTCGAGGTTTCTTTACGGTTCTTTCCCTCGTCGTTTTTATTGAACCATCAGGTTAGTGTTAGGGTTTCCTTCTTCCCTATATAAAGAGATGTAACCCCATTTAGAGTAAATCAAGCAATAAACAACTCAAACCCTAATTTCCTTCCTCCCTCGGTTCACCGATTCTCTTCCTCACCTCAATTCTTCTTCTTCTTCCTTGTCCCATATTCTCAAAGAGCTCGAAGACGCTCCGAGTCTTCCCTATCCGATACGAGTCGCCCCATAATCTTTTCTTGCTGCAAAGTGTTGTGTTTTACCCAAAAAAAATGCAACAATAACCCTAGGCAGAAAAGGACGAATCATACCAGATTTGAGTGCATTGCTTTTTCATTGTTTTTTTTGGTATATGTCTTGCCACAACTATGATCTCGATGTTGGATAAAATTATTGTGACAATGGACGATGCCTTGAACAAACTTCTTGGTGTGTTGAAGAATATCTTTTATGGAAGAGTTGAGTTTCATGACGGGGTTTGTATAGCTTATTATCATGTGGATGAAAGTTTGAAGACGCTCCACTTATTTCGTCGTCTTTTAGATCTATCGTATTCTGATTCTGAGTTATATGCGTTCAATGTGGAAATCTCTTGCTCGGTACAAGATTTGGTGCACGGTACTCCAATGGCATTGAGTGATATTTCCTTGGAGTTAAAAAGTTTCAAAATACGGATGATGAACGCTATAAGGAATCTTCTTGGCATTCCCATTGTTCCACCTGATTTGGTCCCCACAACCACTCTACACAATCCTACATCTACTGACATGGAATCTGTGGAGCGTACGGTTGGGGATTCAGTGAGAGTCCCTGCAGTTGATGCTGATGGTGTTTCTATTGAAGGTATTGTTAATGCCTTTCCATCAGATCTTGTAGTTGTTGATACACCCGTAGATGCACCGGGTAAGGGAGACGTTGCAAAGGATCAAACATTGAGCAATGTCATCATCGCATGTAGCCTTGTGTCTCCGTCCAAAATCGCTCAAGTAGCAGATGTGAATTATACGCAACCAGACATCTCACTGACCTTTGATATCATACCGTCCTCTGGCCATGCGAATATAGTGGAGTTTGAGTATTGGGTTTCACCGCAGGTAGCTAAGTTTGCATTTGCACTTCTCTCTTATGTCCATCGCTATACTTCAATTTGTAGGCTTAATGAAGATCTATCATCAAGTGGGCATAATCTTTGGGTCAACATTTTCTCTCCAGTCTCGAAGCATGAGTGGGAGCCTCCACCTTGAGGACAAGGTGGCTTTCTAAGGGGGTGAGAGTGTTATGGATAGTAGAGTAGGATATTTATTATTATTATTATTGTTGTTGTTGTTGTTGTTGTTGTTGTTGTTGTTGTTGTTAATATTATTATTATTATTGTAATCTAGATTTTATTAGGTGAGCGAAATTATAAGCTCCTTCGAGGTTTCTTTACAGTTCTTTCCCTTGTCGCTCTTATTGAACCGTCAGGTTAGCGTTAGGTTTTTCTTCTTCCCTATATAAAGAGATGTAACCCCATTTAGAGTAAATCAAGCAATAAACAACTCAAACCCTAATTTCCTTCCTCCCTCGGTTCACCGATTCCTTTCTTCGCCTCAATTCTTCTTCTTCTTCTTCCTCGTCCCATATTCTCAAAGAGCTCGAAGACGCTCTGAGTCTTCCCTATACGATACGAGTTCGTATCAGATCTACACATCTTTTGGTGTTTCTGCATCAAAAATATACTCAAAGAAAAGATTGAGCTCCAAAGTGAACATTAACATATTGGATATTGTTTTTGCTTTAGAATTCCACATTCTAGAATTCATTTGCACTTTTAGGAGGTGAACTCTCGTTGCCTTCAACAATTTCCCAAAGACTCTCGACTTGAAAAAACACTTCACGTTTATGCTCCAAAGTTTATAAAACTCATAGTCTCTATCTCTTAACTTCTGTGGTAAACTAGTTATGAAATTTAAATCGCTTTCCATTTTTAGCGCAACTTACCTTAGCTAATATCACCTATTGCACTTCTGTCTTGATAACTTGGCTCTAATACCAATTGTTGGGCCCGATAACAATTGTTTTGCTCTGATACCAATTAGATGGAAATAATAAAGTCACATATATGTTAGGAAGGAAAGAGGATACTTTATTTCATCTTACTCATTACAACTTAATCGGAGTACATTAAGGAATATATTGTTAGCTAGGCCTTTATATAGGCATTACATGATGATATAATATTAATAAGATAATACTAATCTAATTGGATTGGATAATACTTATCCAATAAGATAATGCTTATCCAGTAAGATGATGCTTATCTAATAAGTAGTTTTCAATTTGAACTTGTATTCTTATTTTTTATAATATATTTCTTATTTAAGAATAAGTCTTCAAATTGGTTTTTTCTTCCTCCAATGGATAAGCTTTAGACTTGAGTGTTCAACTTGAGTTCTTCTTCATAACAACTCGTAAACTTATCACGTAAGCTTGGTTTAATATTATAACACATTCACAATCCATCATTTTCATAGTTTTCGTTTCCCTCTTCTGGAAAAAGGATGGATCCATCAATGAATCCAATTTTTTGTTTTGCGCGGAGTACGATACTTATTGCTCGAGCCCACTCTTCATAGTTATCACCATTTAATTTAACTTGGGTGATAATTAATCCGGGTGTATCAACGTTCTTGAGTTCGTAAGAGCTTCCCTTTGTTGCAGCCTTCTCTTCATTGTCAAAAAGTTTCCCGGTGATGGGCTCCTTAATTTCCGTCATTGTGATGGCGGCAGAATGGCAGTCGATTGGCGGCAGACGGCGATCGGTGGTTTACAGTTAAAAATTCTCTAGGTTCAGTTGCTCCGATACCATGTACTCCATAGAAAATAGTAAGAGAGAAAATATTCTGTATATTGAATTGCCTTCAGGAATACAAAGGATTAATCCCCTTTATATAGAAAGAGAAACAAAACATATAAGTAAACTATCATAACTCTACGCCTACCATAACTCTATTACGCTTGTAGGTGGAATAATCAGGTTGTGGAGTTACACTGTTAGAGAGAATGAGCTTATAACAGTAATAAAAGCATACTAGTATTACTTAGCGGTTAACAAATGAGAATAACTTAGAATAAGGCTTTCCCCAGCGGATTCACACATTCTCCACTCTTCAGTTTTAATTTTATTGTTCTTTTCTTTCTCATCTTACAAATTACCTGGGTTTACGGGCTTGACCATTGGGATCAAGAATAGCTCATCACAAAATTCCACGAATCCGTTAATGCCCGAAATATAAATGTGTTTAAGAACTACAAAAACAATAGAGATGAGTAATAATTATGAGGTGCAAAACATCTAAACATCTAATTTATTCACAGGACAAAAGGACCAAGCGAAAAAAACAGCCCGCCCGTATTTACAAAGGTAAGGGCTGCAACGGACGAAGCTGGGATTATATTGGGTTCCAGTGTTTCTTCTGTTGACAAAAGGGCCAAGTTGTATATTACTTGTTTTGTGTTACAGACGATTGCTATTGTTCCATATATTCTTTCTTAAGAACCCAAAAAGACCCATTGACATTTTTCTCCAACGTTGCAATCTCCCTCAAAAGACTCTTGAACAATGCCAGATCTTTGAACGATACCCTACTTCTGAAATGGTCAACAATGGTAGCAGAACTGGTGGATCCGCCTCTCCTCTGAATAAATGTACAAATCTGTCGGATCAGAACTTCGGGCTGAATCCCTCCTGAACCACCTTGAGGCGTCCTGCTGACAGAGCTTGAAGCCAAATTAAACTGATGTTCTAGCCCATCACTAACTGCCCTTTCTTGGGTTCCTCTTATCCTGGCCAGCAACTCGGCTGAGGATACAGCTTTACCTGCAGATGCCCCCACAGCAATTCCATTTTGCCTGCTGTTTTTGGATGCTGACTCTCCTGAGGACTTGGAACTAGAACTTACCAATAGAGGGTTCGTAGTAGAGCCAAATTTCTTTTTAAGGGATGCAGGTGCCCCTGCAGTTCCGGATTTGCCTGTCCAGGTTGGGACAGACACACTCTCTTGCCTCCGAAGCATTCGCGACTGGCGCAATGCTTCTGCTGCTCTCTGTGCAACTTGTGAGGCTTGCTCATCTAGCCTCAGTTTCTCCTCATCATGCGCATTCATAATAGCATCATGATCCACTGCACTCTGGAAATTCAAAAAATTGGTAAACCAGAATTATTTGCAGAAAGAAAACATTTTTAACATATGCAGAGTTGAGAAAAAAATTGGCTCGCGGAAAAAGAAAAACAAATATAACTCCACACATGTGCTGCCAGTTGTGTCTGGAAAGATAACACATCCTGGAATGTTGTACACAAAAAAGGAATGTGGTACCTATTTTTGGATGTTAGGGGGTAGGCTTGGTACGATAATGTGGAAGGTGGTAGATACATCATGCTTATCTGGGTCTTAAACATTACGAGTATATTCTGTTTCAAAACCAATTTCAACTCTTATCTAACTAAAAACTTTAGTTATCACTTTTTACATAACACAATAATCTCTCTCTCAGGCAAACTTCATTGGATATTTTGCAGTTTTCCTGTGGTTTTTAATGTGAAAATAACTATACAGTATAAACTCAAGCACGAAAAGAATTCTTCATCCTTTCCTGAGATTTTCTGTGCATGTTCTGGTTTTCTTGTCATGCTTTCTTCTCAAAAGAAAAGGAACTCTCCATCCTGATTCCTGAGTTTTCAGGGCACTAGAGTAATTTGAATTGGTATACACGTTTCAACACCTGGTATTCTGGGTGTATGAGCAAAAAGGTCACTGCAAAATATATTTGGCAACTTGTAAATCTCAAGTCATAAAAACTCAGCCAGTCGTACTTACATGAATACCATGCGCATCAAAAAGATCCCGCAAGATACTAGTCTCTTCATCTACTTCATGTTTGCTGTTACATGCCCTCTCTTTTTCTGTGGTGTCTGCACCATTGCCTCCTGATTCGTTATCTTTTTTCATGACAGTGTCCTGATCTAGCTTTGTTTTCGTAGATGTAGCTATTCCCTGACCAGGGTGTTGAGGCCCAGTAATGTTAATATCCTCACTCAACTGGCTAAAGATACTAGATGTTTCTGTAGATCCATTTTCCCCATCATCATTCAATGTGAAGAGATCCTTCAAATCACGAGATTTAAAAAAGCGTCGCTGCTGTGGATTCTTCAAAATTTTGTTTGTAAGAAAGTGCTTGTATATCTGTCTGTGATACACTTTCTCTTCAATAGTTCCACGGGTAATCAACCTGTAAACAATCACGTCTTTTTTCTGACCAATACGCCAAGCACGCTCCCTGGCCTAAGATATGGAATGATTATTCCAATAAGAATATGACCAAAGAAAACAAATATTGCAAGCTCAATTATTATGAAGTTTTTTATTTGTGGATTGTATCTTCTCTCCTTCATACTCACTGGGCAAAATGTTTGGGATTTCAAAAGTACAGACATGCATGAATGTATCATTAACTAATTTCATGTTCCATGCTCAATATGAAGACTCACCGGATGCAAACAGTGAACATACATACCTGCATATCATTAGATGGGTTCCAGTCAGGATCAAATATAATGACTCTGTTGGCACCAGTTAAATTGGTTCCCAGACCGCCAATTTTTGTAGTCAAAATGAAAATAAATATTTCATCTGTATTATTAAATTCATCTATTAAAGTCATTCTTTGCTTGGCAGGGGTTGCACCATCCATTCGCCTATAGTTGTAGCCTCCAGTGACTAAAAAATTCTCAAGAATATCAAGCATCTGTTGTGTCTGAGAAAAAAGAAGTACACGATGACCCTGATTTTTCCATAACTTAAGTACTTCGGAAACAACTTTCATTTTCCCACTGCGTTCAGGGTTACCATAGTCAGGATCATTACATGAACTTTCTCTCTCAAGAAGATCTGGATGGTTACAAATTTTACGCATCACATCAATCCCATACAGCGTGTTTTTGTTACCATCAAATATCTGTTCAACCTCAGAACTAGCGAGAAAAGATCGATAAACTGATCGCTGTGCTGAAGTGAGGCTGCAGAAAAGGACATGTTCAGTCTTCCTTGGTAATTGAGCGTTTACATCAGCCTTCATCCGCCGTAGGAGATATGGCATGATTAAGTCACGCAAGACCACAGCACATCTGCATATTATAATCGTTATTAGGGAATCCAACTATAAAATGAACATCAAAGAAAATGAGATATTCTAGATTAATAACTACCAAATAAAAACTAAGACATTAGATCTTTCATATTAATAACCATTGCATCTTGGCACAGCTAATATAATGTACAACAACAAACCCGTTCAGATCCCATGAAAAGTAGACCTTACCCCTTACTCGGAACTGTCTCTAGAAGTAGAGAGGTTGTTTCCAAGAGCACCAACTTAAGCAAAGTCAAAGTAAACCAACAAAAATAGACATAAAAGCACAAATAACGTAAGAACAAAGTAGTATCAAAGCGCAAAGAGCAAACTAAGGCACAAGTGCACAACTAGCGTGATTCATTTACTTCACTTGTTCCTCATCAGCATCACTCGCCATTGCAACAAAGTTGGGGTAAGTGACATTAAATTCATAGCATCAATTAACGGTCTAAAGTCAGTTGGAAATATAAATTCACGCTCAACTTTAATGCTAGATGCCATTTTGCCCCAGCCTTCTAAAAGGGAAGTATGATAAGAAACTTAAAAGCCATCATCCTCATACATTGTTGTCTCCTGTAATTCATTCACACCCGAAATAAAACATAAAATAGTACAATTTAAATATAATAAACTGATGCGTCCTCTTCCTTATTTTCCCAGCCAGATTTTAGTTTAGTATTCTTTCAAAGGCCGCAAAAGATAGAACTTATAAGTCCTGGGTCATACATTTTTCATCGAGCAACATGTATTTTAAAAAATGTATGAATTAAATAACCCTGGCATCTTTCCACTTTTAGACTAAACAGAAACATGTATCAGACCAGAAATTGAATTTAAAACTACACACTTCCAAATTTTGCAATGCATACCTGTAAGCGGTGGAGACTTGCAACGGTGTTGCATTAGCATAACCACCAACGGAAATGGGAACAGAAAATTCTGCCTCAAAGACAGGAAGGACACCCAGCTTTCCAGGGAAGACAAAATCAAACAATGACCATAATTCAGTGAGCTTATTCTGTATAGGAGCACCAGTCATTATGATGCGATGTACTGTCTGCAACTGCTTGCAAACAAGAGTAATTTCTGCATTTGGATTCCGAATTCGATGACCTTCATCTAATACAGCATAACCCCACTCTATATCAAGTAATTTATCTCCTAGTACACGCAGTTGCTCATACGTAGTGACCAGTAGACCAGAGTCTGACCTTAAAACACGATCTATAACTGTACCCCATTTATTGGTATTCCTAAAAGATTTTTTATCAACGTCGCTGTCAAGTAGTTCTTCACTTTCATAATCACTATCTTCAGATTTTGATTGCTTACTCTTTCTATGCAAGTCATGAGCTGAATCATGTAATATCTCAACATGAAAGCTTGGATACCATTTCTGTGCTTCCCTCTTCCATTGCTGCAGTAGAGTGACAGGGCATACAATGATGCTTGGCTTGTACAAATTACTATAATGTAATGATCCAAGAAACGCTAAAACCTGTATCGTTTTACCAAGACCCATCTCATCTCCAATAATTCCACCAGCCTTTTGGCAGTGAAGTTCCCATAGCCATTGCACTCCAACCTTTTGATAGTCAAAAAGTTTGTCAAAAATCGTCTCTTGAATTTTTAATCCACCGTCAAGCATCACAAATGATGGTCTTTCATCGTCCACATTTTCAACTTCTTTTTCATCTTCATGACTAGAACATTCGTCATCTTTTGCAAGGAAAAGAAATTAATTTACTATCTTATTTATTAACAAAAGTGCATCTTCATTAAATGCGCACATCACTTCCATGGACCACATTTGAATCATCATTAGGGAAAAAAAGAATAATCTGTCAGAACATAGAATGTACCTGGTGCTTCATCAGGTTTATCTTCACGGCAGGTTTCCGTTCTCCATTTTTTGCTGGGCTTAGGCCTTCTCATCCTACTCTTATCATTTGCGCCATTTTTCACGAGTTTTCTATGTGTTTGAAAGTGAAAGGGATGTGTAGGTGGATCAAGTTTTGGTAATAATGAAGAATCAAGCAGCTTTGTAGTTGGTCTAGACTTTGCAGCCTCTGATATTGAGCGGATAGCATTGGCTAAGCTAGTCGAAGTGCAGGTATCATGTTCTTCTATACCATGCCTACTGGATGGCCCAGATTCTTGAATTCGACGCTCAAAACCATTGAGCTTGTGGAAGGGCGTTAGGATTCCTTTTCTCACCAGCTGATCCCTTTCCTTAATATAAACAGAAAAAGAAAATAGTCTGTAATTACATGACTTATATCCTGGATATTAATAGAAACTAACAGACCCCAAGCCCAATAAATAATGAGAAAAGATATACTATGGGGTACTATTCATAGTTCATATAACTTAGTAATAATAATTTGAGAATTGCTTACTGTTTCAACAAATCCAGAAGATGCAGCATTCAGTACCGCATCAAAATCATCATCATCATCCAATGATGCAATCTTTACCCTTCTTTTCTTATTCTTGATTGGGTTCTTGGCTTCTTTCGGCCTTTTTTTGGGTGCGGGGTCCTTAACAAGATCTCTTAACAAAGAACGAGTAATATGCATATTATTTGTAGATGATTCAGAGATTCCCTTTTCTAGTTCAATTTTTGTTTCTAAAAGGCTTTTTAGTCGATTAGCAGCTAAAGCATGCTGAAGGTTTAAATCATTAAGAGGAGCCCGAGTACTGTTTTGCTCACTCTCTGAAGCCCTTTCTTCATTGTCATCTTCTCTACAAGTTGCCTGCGCGTCATTTTTCCTGAAGTTCTCTAAGTGTTCAAAACCATGTTTAATCGCCTGTATTTCAACTTCCACAGCTCTAAGTTTATTATACAAATCGGTGGTTTTGGTAGACAACGAAGCATTGTGTTCAGTAATTTCTGCCTCTGTATTCTTTGCAGCTTCATTGCCATCCTCAAGGTTATCTTTTGCCTGGCAATGCCATTAAACATAGTCAGTCCCAGTGGAAATAGCTCATATCATGGGAGTACATTTAATACACTAATCCCGAGTAGTATATTAAACCACAGACATTTTTAAGAGGTATAGTGAATCTTTATCGATGATTTCAGTTCTTCTGCTTCTGAGATGGTTGGTGGTGTGGCATGTTTGAGTTATTACTAATTACCTCATTCTATGTTTGGTGCAATAAACCATAAACAATAAGTAACCTGTTCGAATACACTGTGCTCGATATCTTCTTGTTTAGCAGATGTAACACCCAAACTACTGAACAAAACCCTATCATCCTCATCTTCTTCCATTTCTCCTTTTCTGTATAAAGACAAACACAATAAGGTCTGCTCATTAGAATCACCAACGAACAAGTTTACAAAACATAGCATGTGACGTATCGTCATTCATTATAGCACTTGTCAAATTAATCTTAGCTGAATTAGTAACTTCTTTGGGTAACCAAAATTGTATTGTAACCTTAAATTTGTATGAACATATTAAGTGGAACTCATTCAAATTAGCCAAGGAGTCTCCATCATCATGCTAAAATTATAAACATCCATACCAGTTCTTGTAACAATAGCGCAATTGTTCCTCAACAAATATCTTTATTGATATATTTCTTTCCAACCAAGAGAAAATAATAGTTCTCCGTATTTGAAATTCTCATCACAAAAGCAAAACTTTTCAACTATGCTCCGAAAAAAGCAATTAACAGTACAAGTAAAAGCATAGATTATGAGCAACATCTGAATGCAGTTGCAAATGGGGAAAGTACAATTCTTTGCATGTGTTTGACGCTAACAATTCAGTGAAAGAGCTTTAGGACCGATAAATGTAAAAACCCTAAAATCGTGAATTACAACATTCTGATTTGTTCACTTACAGGCTTAACAATTTTAGAGTTAAGGATTCAATTGTCTTTCTGGATGCCGGTGAATGCTCTGATCGGAGCTGATGCCGCGTCCGGCGATTGGTCTCCTCTCAAACGGGGATTTGGCAACCGAACTAACATACGGGGTATCATACCATTAAAACAAACAGGTACAAGGGTTATAATTAAACTATAATTAATTAATTATATTAACATAGTGATTTCTATATTAAACTATACCCAATATCAAAAATTATAGTTATATATTCAAATTTTATTCATTTTTTTATCAATTTTTGGTATTGATTTGATAAAATAATATAATCATATCACTTTTTATTTTATAGAACTTTTAATATAATTTTTAAACATGTAAAATTTGTTTTTATTTATACTTCAATTCTATAATATATTGCATTAAAAATAACTTCACATAAGGGGGTGTTTTCTATGATGGTGTTTATTGTCTCATTGCTTATAAACAATTTTTAACTTATAAGTTGTTTATAAGCCAAATATTTTTTTAGAATTAAAATGACTTAAATAATAGATAAATAATTTGTAAATATTCATAAATTGTGAGGAATAGTTTTGCAAGTAATCTGGTCAAAACGAAGAAATGAAAAAAAACTACTTAAAATAAGTAGTGAAGACTTACTTATTTTTTATGGTTTCATATTATAAGTCAGTTAATAAGTACACAAAAATATATCATCAGCTGACTTATAGTTAAAAACTACTTATAAGCAGTTTTGATGAGTTTATAAGCGCAGAGAAATACCCATAAAATATTGTAAACCAAAACAGGTGATTTAAATTGAGACGGAGGGAGTACTAGAGAAATCTGCTTAAAATTAACTAAAATTTTAAAAATATATTACTTAAAATAGTCAGAAAATTGTTTAGGGTCTTATAGATTTTTTAGTAGAGTCATGTAAGGATAATCCCAACATTTTTGAATTACTATATGATCTAAACTTTGTACATACACGCATACACAATTGACTTAGATAATAGTTGGTTATGTGTACGTATTTGTGTAGAACTTGAGAGCGATGAAAATGCCCTTAACGCCGGGGGCAATGGGGCGTTTAACGCCTTGTCGGCGTTAAACGCCGCCCCCGCCCCCCTTGGGGCGTCACTACGTTGCGTCAAACGTTTAATGAAATCATCCCCCCCCCCCCGCCCAACGGCTAGTTTAGTCGTTACAACTTTAAAAAAATTCTTTAATTACTTTTTTTATAAATATCAAACTCAATCTTCAATCTTCTTTACATCTTTCCTTTCTTCAATCTCCAATCCTCAATATTCTTCACATCGTTCCTTTTTTTAATTTTTGTTAATATGAATCCCTCCAGTTCTTCCCTTGACGGTCTCAAGGCAAACGAGTACGCGATGTGGATCTTCTAACAATACGGGAGTAATCCAACGTTGTTCAAAATGCAAACATCGGTGAACCTCGATGACCCAAAGTCAATTCCGGAGACTCAACTGGAACCATTGGGAACAAAAAAGTGCACGCCAGAAGAGTCTCAAAGCGAAAGGCGACAAACCGATGACCGAGACGGCACGGTCAATCTAAAAGTGAACGCTGGAGGAAGAGTCCTTGTTGGCGTCGACTTGGGTGGACGTCTCCGAGCATCTTATCGTTGGTAAAAATTATATGTTTTTTAATATATTTGTGTTCTTATTTATATACTGGTTTTATATATTTGTGTTAAAACAAATTTCGTTCAATTATATACTTTTTAAATGTTCGAAGCAAACGTAAAATGCGATGTGGGATCGTATTAAGGAGAAGTTTTTTGTGGCGATGAACAAGGATGCCATGTACTGTATCCGGGACCAACTCACTTCAAAATGGGGCTACATTAACTGTAAAGTCCGAAAGTTTATCGGAGTGCACGAGGAATGCTCTCGGTCCCGAAAGAGCGGGACAAACCACGCCAATGTTCTAAGGCTAGCAACGGCCCGATATCAAGACGATGGGCACAAAGGAAAGGTACCCGTTGATTTTTGGAGAATTTTAAGCCGTTCACCGAAATGGCAAGAACTCGACAATCCTGAGGCCAGATCCTATACAAAAAGGTCCTCCGCCGAGGCCAAGGTTGAGGTTGATGATACTATCGGTTCGTTCGAACAAAGTCCTCCCTTCAACGTAGATGATTCCGATGACGAGGACCCCATTCCACAAGCTTTGTTTCTTCTCACGACGATATTGGTCGGGCAATGGTGGAACAACTCCGGGTGTTCAATAGTAGAGAAAAGGAGAGCGAGAGAAGAAAGCAACAGAAGGAAGAGATCAAACTAATGGAAACTGACATTCATTTATTATCGGGCAACAAATGTTCTTTTTTATTAAAAATAATTTTTATGAATTATTGTCGATTTAATTTTTTAATTTAATGAATGTAATTTCTTATGAATTATTCTCGTTTCAATTTAATTAAATAATTAAATAATTACATTTTATTAATTTAGTTTTAAAAGATGTGTATTTAAAATGTAAAAAATAAAGGTTTGAAGTCCCAGTTTGAAGCCCCGAGGCTTCAAACCCATTTCCAGTTAATCTGTGAGGTAAGTTAAAGCTGACGTGACAGAGAGAGAATTTTGAAGCTTCGGGGCTTCATGAGTATTTCCAGTGCTCTGAGGTTATGGTAATCCAAAATATTAGGGTTTCCCGTGCTATATTCTTTTTAGACTAAACTTTCAAACGTACGGAGTATATATTACTTCATTCTTCGCTAAAAAGGTTTGACATTTATTTTTTTGTTAAAAAAAGGTTCTACTCTTCACTTTGGGAAAGAAATTTGTGGTTTAAATATTTTTTTCACTAATATGTATTAATTTCAAATGGAAAATCGCCTAAAATAGAAATAAAACATAGTCATTATTCTCAAAATAAGAGTTTGTATTATGACAATATGACATTTGTTAGACAAGGCGTACAACTCTAGAGGGAGGTGAATAGAGTTGTTGAGAATGTTTATCGATTTTCGCAAGATTAATAATATAAACGTAAGTGCAGCGGAAATAAAAGAGAGAAGGAAAAGACACACTGATGTATACTGGTTCACCACCTCGTGGCTAGTCCAGTTCCCCGAGAGACTCTCTCGAAGCTACCACTACTTCCGTTAAACTTACGGGTGCTTAACAAACCGTTTACAACTCGAGAACTTGAATCCCACAAGCCTCGACACAACCGCTCGTAGATATACCCTCTACAAGACTTCACATTTAAAACTTAAGTCACATAAGTCTTATACAACAAGAAGAATAATCTTCTTCAACCTCTCAACAATAACTCTCACAAGAGTAGAAATGAGAAAAGATTAAGCTCTACGGATGACAAGAACACTCTCTTGAAAACACTTAGTTTTCTCTCAAAATATATCAATTTGAGTAAGAAATGAATGAAGGATTATAACCTCGTGATTGGGGAGTTTAGGAGTGCTTGTTCATTGCTAAAAATGACCAAGGAAAGGAGTTTATAAAGGGTTTGAAGGAATATGTCCGAAGAAATCACCCTACGTAGCACTCTAACTAATATAATATTACACATTTAGCACTGCTTATTGTTTATTTACCAAATTAGCTATTTATGTTGTCAATCTCTTCCAATCATACCCTTTATGTTATCAATCCCTTTTATCCATCCCACTATCAATTATTTCAATTTCCCTTTCAACTCCTATATCAAATTCGGTCTCACATAATGTATACTTTGTGCATAGTGGCATAATACTCTTTTTTATCAAATTTTTTCGTCAATCAATTAAATGTAGTTTTGAATAAATATATATAATAAAAATATGATATATCAAAATTATATCATAAAAATATGCCAATTATAAATACTTCTTTTATCCCAAAATAGGGCTCTTATTCGATTTACGATGTTTGATTGAAATTATTTTCAAATCAATATTAGTAAAAATTATTGTATAATTAAAAAATAGGAATTATATATTAAAAAAACTACATAAAAATTTTTATAAACAAGTGGTGACAATGTGACTTACATATAAAACTACCAAT